GGCATGACCTGGATTTTTCAAAGGGAGGGAGGGGAGGAGGAAGGATGCCACACTGTGTCAAATAGAGAGTACTCACCAGATTGCCATGTCGACCTTTCATGAATAGGTTATAGTGACATTTTAAGACACCTTGTCCCCCTCCCCCCTCTCTTTATTTCGTTTGGGTGTCAGAATTTAACTGCAATTGTTAATTACTGGGGCAAAACCTCGGTAGGAAATTAAGAGGAGAAACGTAATAACTGCACAAGTCAACTGAAATTTAACGTCTCCCACGATTACAAGACTGGTGCTCAAAAACCGGTTTCACTCAGGAAAGTTCCAACTTTTCATTTGTTTTCTTCTTCTCCATCTTTCTCTGAATATAGATTATGATAATCGTTTATTTAATGAGATCTCAATAAATAGTTTACTATGTATTATTTATCGGTTAATTTTTTTGTTTTGTTCTTTTCTCAAGCCGACGTCGGAGGCACTGAGGTTATGGTTGTGTATGTACGTTGAAGACCAAGGATGCCAAGCAATGAATAATCTGAATGAAATGTCGAGAAGTAAAACTTCTGCTTTAATGTTATACGCAAAATGACCGCAAGATCCCACAATTCATATCGAAGTGCTTGACTGTTGACCTTGATGATTTCCAAGAAGAAATGGCTCGTTACTGCCAACGACACTTAATAACCGCTATCCTCTCTGCTCGAGACATTTTCTTTTCGTTATCAGAATTTGACGCGAGCTTGCCAGATAGACATTCGTTGACCGTAACTCGCCAACGAAACTCGTTCTTATTAGATAGCTTTATGGCTTTTATCCTTTTCGATATTAAAGCAGTACCTTCTCCTAAGGCGCGTTCCGCTCTTTTTAAGGAACTATTTTCCAGAGCGTTCAAAGCGTCATGCATCTTATCGAGGACTTGAAACTAATGATCAAGTTACTGTTAGTTGCCCTTCCAGATGCAAGCATGGTTCTCACGACGAGCCTTTTTTACGGCTTGGTCAACTGCAGCGCCGTTACTTTCAGAAAAGCTTTGAGCAGATCTGGTTAGCCTAGATTCGACCACGCTAAGTTTTCTGTTAGTGAACCGATCGACGTCGAAATAGACCCGACAGACGCACTCTCAATTTTTATTACTCAACAATTATATACCGTTATTTAAATAACTTAACACATACCGAAACACTCACTAATAAACACACATTGCCATTCAAAACGTGCTGGAAAAAAATTACCTTCTCAGCTTCGAAACGCAAATATTTTACTATTCTTATCAATTTGTTCACTTACACAGTGTTATAGTTGTTGTGTTGTGTCGACAACGGTGGGTACATTGAAAGAAACAGAAATAACCCTAACGATTAACGGCCTTCATCCTTGCAGCCTCTATTGAGCTAAACTGGCCATGGAAACGGAGTTTAAACGCTTTGGTAATCTGTAAAAATATACGTTGGCAAGAGAAATAACCCTAACAATTGACGGCATTTCATCCTTGTCGCCTCTATTGAGCAAAACTGGCGACGAAAACGGAGTTTAAACGCTTTGCTATTCTGTTAAAAATGTATTTTAAATTTCCTCAGATTTATTTAACACCTTGTGTAGGTTTCTTGTTTAACGAGATTGTACCGTAAAAGGTAAATAGAGAGAACTCTCGACAGCCATTGGTTGAAAAGTAAACAGGAAGTTAATTGAAGCTAATCTCACGCTTAGAGCAGCTGGGAAACATTCAGTTTGTACAACTCCATGTCTGTATGACTTTGTGCCATGTCTTTCGCTTGGATCTGTTTTCTGTTACTGGAGCTGTGTTCAATGATATCCAAGATCGCCTGGTCACAAGGCTGGTTATTCAAGTATGTTCTTTGACAACATGAAACTGAGAAATCGATTCTTTTACTGCTACCGTAAAAAAAAAAAATAGAAAAAGTAAGATTGACAGAAAAATAAAGTAACGATGTCATCTTTATTGTGTTTTAAATGTTTGCTGCAAGCGACAGATGGCGGCTTTTCAACTTTCTGATGGAAATAGCACGTTAGCATTTACCGCTGCTTGTCCTTTGACATTATGGGCCGGTTATTTGCTCGAGGCCAAACTTATCTAAACCACGGTTTTACCACATCTAGACGATTCTGTTTAATCTTTTACAGTTGGGGATCATGTATTTTAACAAGTTTAGAGGAGTTGGGGGCCCTTAGTGTATAAACTCTTTTGCTTTTTAAAAAAATCATGACAAACTTTTGTCTGCCGTTCACCCAGAATAATTTGACGAGGCGTACTACAAACAAAATTTCGACTCTCACAAATGAAGGAATCTACCAGAGCGGCAATTATTCCGCTTTGCGCGGAACTTAAAAGCTAAGTATTATAGGAAAGCCTCAAAACAAATACGATAAGCCTGAACGGACATGTTAACGGTTTCCTAATTAACATTCATGTCTCGTGACCTAAGTTAGCTAATTATGAGAAAATGCAAGCAGTTCCTCTCCTGACATAAATATGTTGTTGAACATCATTCCGAAATAGGGTGAAAAGGAAAACTTTTCGAGACAATTTTGTGTACAAATTCAGGTAATTTCCGCAAGTGTATAACATCTGTATGTTGCGTTTTCCAACTTCAAACAGAACCATTAGTTACCTGCGGTTAGCTGCCCTAGATTTGATCAATGTAATTTTTCTGTTAATGAACCAATCGACGTCGAAATAGCAGATCTGATTGCTTGAATAATGAATGGATCGAGATGGATTCAATACAGCTACACGATATTCTGATGCGTTTGTGAGGTGAGATGCTAAAAGTTCGTCCATCTTAAAATTAACTGCCTGTGCGCAGGTGTTCACAGACCCGACGGACTAACTCTCAATTTTTACTACTCAATGCTTATATACCGTTATTCAAATAAATTAACACATACCTTTAGTCATATCGAAACACTCGCTAATAAATACACATTGCCATTCAGAACATGCAGGAATAAAATATCTGCTCATCTTCAATTTGTTCATTTACAAAGCGCTGTAGTTGGTTTCTTTTAAATAAGATGAGAATTTCAAACAACTTTGTATAAGTTCGATGACGGTGGTTACGTGTGAAGTTAGCGGGAGAAATAACCATAACAATTGACGGCCTTTCATCGTTGCAGCCTCTATTAAGCAAAACTGACCATGGAAACGGAGTTTAAACGCTTTGCTATTCTGTTAAAAATATATTTAAAATTTTCCTCATATTTATTTAATACCTTGCACAGACTTCTTGTGCAACGAAATTGTACCATAAAATGCAAATAGACAGAACTCTTGACAGCCATTGGTTGAAAAGTAAACAAGAAGTTAATTGAAGCTAATCTCGTGCCGAGTACAGCTGGGAAACATTCAGACTGTACAACTCCATGTCTGTATGACTTTGTGACATGTCTTTCACTTGGATCTGTTTTCTGTTACTGGAGCTGTGTTCAGTGATACCCGAGATTGCCTGGTCACAAGGTTGGTTATTCAAGTATGTTCTTTGACAAAATGAAAACTGAGAAATCGATTCTTTCAACAAAAAAAAAAGGCGCGATTGACAGAAAATAAAACAACGGTGTCATCGTTATCGTGTTTGCAATGTTTGCTGCAAGCTACAGATGGCGGCTTTTCAATTTCCTGATGGAAATAGCATCTTTTACAGTTGGAGGATGGTATATTTTAATAAGTTAAGAGAAGTTGTAGGTCCTTAGTGTACTAACTCGTTTGCTCATTAAAAAAACATGACGGACTTTTCTCTGCCTTTCACCTAGAATAGTTTGACGAGGCGTACTACAAACAAAATTTCGACTCTCACAAATAAAGGCATTTATAAAAGTGGAAATTATTCCGCTTTTCGCGGAACCTTAAGCTAAGCACCGTAGAAAAGCCTTGTAAAAACAAATAAGATAAGCTTAAACGGACATGTTAACAGTTTCCAATACGTAAGGTATTTATGAGAAAATGCAAGCAGTTTCTCTTCTGACATAAACATCATCATTCCGATATAGGGTGAAAAGAAAAATTTTTCAAGCCAATTTTGGGTACAAATTCAGGTGATTCCCGCCGGTGTGTAACATCTGTATATGCGTTTTCCAACTTCAAACAGAAGCGTTAGTTACCTACGGCTATTATATATATATACACACATATATATTTACATTCTCCTGTTTTCATCTTCTATTGATATTTACCAACAATGAAACAGAACGTCTTTCTTATTGCAAGTTCAGCCTCCACGATTTTTATCTTTTTGGATTAATCTCTAACGGATTCTAATTTTTAGGGCATCATAACGCCTTTTTAACATAGCGTATCAGTTCTTTAGTCAAAACATGACATCTGCTTCAATTGTGATCAAGAGGCAATTTTTAGCAGCAAAAGACTAAAGATAGTGTTCAAAAGTATAAAGAAAAAATGGATTTCCTTGAGAATGAAAGGAGAAAATTTCGCAACATTTGGCCTCAATTTAATAACTAACCGCCATTCCAGCGAATTGTACGGTAATTAATTCGCTGGAATGGCGCTCGGTCATTTTTCTGTTGACCGGCTTCATTCGCCTTAAAGGAGGCAAAGTCGAATAGCTTACAGTTTTATCGTGTTGTGTATTTAATAATCCATTTATTGTTATTTACTCTATTTTGGTTTCATGAGAAAAATCGCGTGTAAATTTTTTTTTTCTGAGGGCACTCGCCAAGGTGCGGAGTAACCTTAAAGGCAACGACAGAAATTGGATCTCCCACAGTTACCCGAACACTAATTTCATCACTTCCTCGGGTAAAAGGAAAGAATCTATCCAAAAACGTCAGTTACTCCCATTCAAAGTTTATAGTTTGCAGGAATCAGTACGTTTCTTCCCCAAATAATTACGGTTAAGAATATTCCAACTTATAGTCGTTGTCTTCAATCCACAGAAACTCATACTAATTTGGATTCCAATTATGGGCAGAATTCAAGACAGAATCTGCTTTCAGTAGACAAGTTCCATTATCTAAATGTACCCCGAATTGACATGATCACACCACATGACGACTTTGAATGTATCTTGAAATGTCTCGATCATCCTCTCTGCGTTTCTGTGAACTTTGCCGCCGAAGGAAAAAAGTGGTGTGCGTTACTGTCCTCCAACAAGTTCAACGACCCCGACAAACTCAAAGAAAGCAAGAGTTGGCATCACTATTCGTCTTTTAAGGTAAGAATCTTTTGCTATCATTAAAAAGTAGTTCAACTTTAAATGACTTAAAAATAACTGCAGTAAGTTCAGTAATAATGATAGTAATCCCTCAAGAAGTACACGTGCTCTTAGCATACAACAAACGAAAGGCACTGTGTCCTTTCTATTTTTTTAATTACAGAATCCTTGTGGAAGCAGCCCATGTCAGAAAAATTCTACTTGTCAAGCTGGTTTTATTTCAAAAGGATACCGTTGTGTCTGTCGACAAGGACTCGGAGGAGAGAATTGTAACAAAGGTATTTTGTAGCTTATTCATCAAATAATGCAAATATTCCTGCCTTTTTATGCTTCAGTAGTATTCTTGTTGTTCTGCTTAAGTAAATTTCCGAAATTCTCCAAAGTCACTGACTTTATGTTTAAATATGTTAGTTGTGTATAATGAAAAACCCCCTTTTTACTTAGGTTTTCGATGGCCAATCCGTTTTGCGGTTTGGGGAATCATTAACTTCTAACACAATTTAGTATGTTTTTGGTTATCCCCAACCGACTCATTGCGATTTAGAGAACAAGAGTTATTATGTTACGACTTGTAGTGAGGGAGTCATTCGTGCCAACTTATCGAAATCATATATAAAAGCTTTACACAAAAACTATTTGAATTTGATGAAAATACATTTTCATCTAGACTGCCAAAAAAGCCACTCATTTCATTTCCGATTAGTAAAATGAGAATGCCAGGACAGTCTAGTACAGCAGAGAGACCTATAGATCTCTGCATCGTGTGCAAGGACTCATATAGGAATCTTTTCTACTTTTATTTTTCCAGTCATTCTGCCTCAGAACTGTTCCCAAACCCCAAAGAAAACAGGAGTCTACAAAATTTCCAATCATGGATCAGACTCATTCCCAGTGTACTGCGACCAGACAAGTGATGGAGGTGGTACGTCAAACTAAAAAGCAGGATCTCGATGGGTTAACCGTTAGGAGTAAAACGGTCGAAAATTCAGCCGTTAGGCGTATAAAATTGGAAAATTTAAACCGTTAACCGTAAATAGGCCAAAGTTTAACCATTAGACGTAAAACCAATCAACACATTGAGACCCTCGAGTAAGGGTCATCAGTATCGCTCTGAGGACTAACGCTCCAAACGTCAGCCTTTAAACTCTTTAAGGTGGCCAATTTACGTTTTCAACTAAGTTGACAACATTAGATTACCCTGTTATACTCTCCCACCGACGCAGCACCACAGTTTCTCTCCAAACTAACCCCCTTTTTTCCCCAAAAAATATTTCATTTAGAAGTGGCTAACTCACTTGGCTAGGAAGGTCCGTGGACTTAGGTCATGTCCATTCAGTCAATTATAAAAACTATTTCTAGAGTTTTCCAAAGGAACAAGCAATTTTCACTAACCTGGACAATTTTTGACAATTTTTTTTCTATTTTAAGGTTGGACGATGATATTCAAATACATTGGAGGAAATTCTTCCTCTCCGACTGCTGACACGTTATGGAGTTCATTCGACACATTATCAGAAAATGTTATCGCTGCCTTAGATACCACTTCAACCTACCAGGGAAACTACAAAAACCGTATCGTTCAAAGTTGGCAAATTTTTAGCCCTCAAGAGGTAAGTCCGGAAAATATCTACACCACAAGGGGTTAGGCTAAATGCACCTTATTTTACAAATTTCTTATGCAATGTCAATGTATTTCCACAGAAATGGCCTGTAAAAGTAAATCACTAGCAGTTAGATTTTTGGATTTTTTTTTCTCATAAGCCTGAGGTTTCCACCTAATGGAAACTTGTCTTCAAATTGTTTGTTACGAAACACTTTTCCAAATGATGTTCATCATGTTCCTAAAGACAAATCAAGCAGGCACTTTTCTCAACTGCTCTTGCCTCTTTGGAAAGGAATTAAGGAATAGAATAAAATAGAATATAAATGGTATAAAAGAATATAAACCAAAACAATTTGTTTCAGAGAGTAATATCACAGGCCATGCAATGAGATCTCTATTTGTTACGTTGCTTTGTTTACCTTACTTCCCAAACCTTAAGAGTGTATCGTCTTGGGAATAGGTATAAGGAAAGTGCTTATGTTTTATCCTTGTAGGAAAATAGTTCTTAGAAAAGGAGTTATGTTTTAAAATTGTGAAATTCTCGCAAGAGAAACAACGACCGGTCGCAAGGTCAAACCACAACAAAATATGCAAACCACAATGAGATAAAATATTCAAAGAAAATTCTGAGCTGAAATAAAATTGCTCAATCCGAAATTACGTTAAAAAGTACTCAGGGTGTGAGGGAGCTTTTAATGCTTCGAGGACGATTGAAAAACAAGGGTTGCAGTGCCAAAGACAAAGTGATACTAGAACCAAGCCGATACAATAACTTCGGGCTCAAAACTTTGCCTTCTCGAGTTTACATAGAGCCATGGCATGTGGTACTGAAAGTAAGTTTGTAAAAACACAATAAGAATCGATCAACAATTCTTTAAATTCCCCGATGTAACGATTCTTATCTTATCCCATACTTATGTATTTGATATGTAAACAACAGATAATTTTCTTGTATGACTTTAGGTTCGTGTAGTGCTTTACACGAATGGAGCAGAAGTTATGTCTATGAAGTTCAATGCCAGAGGAACAACTAACGTGGATTGGTTTACACAAAATAATCTACTTCAATCACCATGGACAGATCTTAAGAATGCGACAACTTTAAAACCCTTTCGCATCAATGGCCATTCTGTTTCACGAAAATTTGAAATTACAGCTAAGTACGCAGGATGCCCTAATGATGTTGGGTGGTTTATGATCGGGGGAGCTTTCTGTGCCTGGGAGAGATTTCACGCTGTGCCGGCAATTCTATACAGCAAGAAAACTCACAGAATCACATGGAATAATGTCCAAGGTAGAAATTGATATTAAAAATCTTGAAATACCTCTGTTATGGTAAAAATTGATGTGAGAAATCTTGGAATACCTCTGTTACTGTTTTTGTTTGTTTGTTTGTTTGTTTGTTTTTGTTATTAAATCAGGGAAATAACAAGATATTTCCTAAACAGACCTCATGGAATGGTTTCGTTGCCATTCATTTGTTTTTTTTTTTTCATTAAAGCAGATGAAACGGTATGGAATAATAATTCTGTTTTCGTTTTGCTGAGATAATCATTGAACTGATCTAGTCGACAGCTTGGATAACTCGGCCATTTCGTTTTATTCTTCAGGGACATGACCTGGATTTTTCAAAGGGAGAGGGGGGGGGGGGGGGGGGAGAAGAGGAAGGATATCACACTGTGTCAAATAGAGAGTACTCGCCAGATTGCCATGTCGACCTTTCATGAATAGGTTATAGTGGCATTTTAAGACGCCCCTGTCCCCTCTCTTTATTTCGTCTGCGTGTCAGAATTTAATTGCAATTGTTAATTACTGGGGCAAAATCTCGGTAGGAAATTAAGAGGAGAAGTGTAATAACTGCTCAAGGCATCTGAAATTTAATGTCTCCCATGATTACAAGAGTGGTGCTCAAAAACCGGTTTCACTCAGGAAAGTTCACTTTTTCCAACTTTTCATTTGTTTTCTTCTTCTCCATCTTTCCCTAAATATGGATTATGATAATCGTTTATTTAATGAGATCTCAATAAATAGTTTACTTCGTATTATTTATCAGCTAATTTTTTTGTTTTATTCTTTTCTCAAGCCGACGTCGGAGGCGCTGAGGTTATGGTTGTGTATGTACGTTGAAGACCAAGGATGCCAAGCAATGAATGAAATGTTGAGAAATAAAAATTCTGCTTAACCGTTATACGCAAGATGACCGCAAGATCCTACAAATCATATCGAAGTGCTCGACTGTTGACCTCGATGGTTTCCGAAAAGAACTAGCTCGTTACTGCCAACGACGCTTATCCTTAACCGCTATCCTCCCTGCTCGAGACATTTTCTTTTCGTTATCAGAATTTGACGCGTGCTTGCCACATAGATATTTGTGACCGTAACTCGCCAACGAAACTCGCTCTTATTGGATAGCTTTATGGCCTTTATCCTTTTCGATACAAAAGCCGGCAGTACCTTCTCCTAAAGCGCGTTCCGCCCTCTTTAAGGAACTATTTTCCAGAGCGTTCAAAGCGTCATGCATCTTATCGAGGACTTTAAACTAATGATCAAGTCATTGTTAGTTGCCCTTCCAGATGCAAGCATGGTTCTCACGACGAGCCATTTTTACGGCTTGCTCAACTGCAACGCCGTTACTTTCAGAAAAACTTTGAGCAAATCTGGTTAGCTTAGATTCGACCACATTAAGTTTTCTGTTAATGAACCGATCGACGTCGAAATAGCAGATGTGATTGCTTGAATAATGGATGGATCGCAATGGATCCAATATGGGTACACCATCTTCTGCTGTGTTCTAGAAGCGAGATGCTAAACGTTCGTCCATCTTAACATTAACGCCTGTGCAGAGGTGTTCATAGACTCGACGGACGAACTCTCAATTTTTGTTACTCAACACTTGTATACCGTTATTCAAATAACTTAACACATACCGAAACACTCACTAATAAACATGCATTGCCATTCAAAACGTGCAGGAAAAAATATCTTCTCAGCTTCTTAACGCAGATATTTTAATATTCTTCTCAATTTGTTCACTTACACAGGGTTATAGTTGTTGTGTTATGTTTTTAAATAAGGTGGGAATTTCATAAAACTTCAAATAAAAATTCCTTAAAAATAAATTTGAATTCCTCTATTGAGCAAAACTGGCCATGGAAACGGAGTTTAAACGCTTAAGTAATCTGTAAAAAAGTAAGTCGGCAAGAGAAATAACCTTAACAATTTACGGCATTTCATCCCTGTCGCCTCTATTGAGCAAAACTGGCCATGGAAACGGAGTTTAAACGCTTTGGTATTCCTCTTAAAAATATTTATTCTGTTCAATCTTTTACAGTTGGGTGATTGTATATTTTAACAAGTTTAGAGGAGTTGGGGGCCCTTAGTGTATAAACTCATTTGCTCATTAAAAAATCATGACAAACTTTTGTCTGCCGTTCACCCAGAATAATTTGACGAGGCGTACTACAAACAAAATTTCGACTCTCAAAAATGGAGGAATCTACCAGAGCGGCAATTATTACGCTTTGCGCGGAACTTAAAAGCTAAGCTAAGCTAAGAAAGCCTCAAAACAAATTCGATAAGCCTGAACGAACATGTTAACAGTTTCCTAATTAACATTCATGTCTCGTGACCTAAGTTAGCTAATTATGAGAAAATGCAAGCAGTTCCTTTCCTGACATAAATATGTTATTGAACATCATTCCGAAATAGGGTGAAAAGGAAAACTTTTCGAGACAATTTTGTGTACAAATTCAGGTAATTTCCGCAAGTGTGTAACATCTGTATGTTGCGTTTTCCAACTTCAAACAGAACCGTTAGTTACCTGCGGCTGCCTTAGATTTGATCGATGTAACTTTTCTGTTGATGAGCCGATCGACGTCGAAATAGCAGATCTGATTGCTTGAATAATGAATGGATCGAGATGGATCCAATACAGCTACAAGATATTCTGCTGCGTTGGTGAGGTGAGATGCTAAAAGTTCGTCCATCTTAAAATTAACTGCCTGTGCGCAGGTGTTTACAGACCCGACGGACTAACTCTCAATTTTTATTACTCAACGCTTATATACCGTCATTCAAATAATTTAACACATACCTTAAGTCATATCGAAACACTCGCTAATAAATACACATTGTCATTCAGAACATGCAGGAATAAAATATCTGCTCATCTTCGTAACGCAGATATGTTAATATTCTTGTCAATTTGTTCATTTACAAAGTGCTATAGTTGGTTTCTTTTAAATAAGATGAGAATTTCAAACAACTTTGTATAAGTTCGATGACGGTGGTTACGTGTGAAGTTAGCGGGAGAAATAACAATAACAATTGACGGCCTTTCATCCTTAAAATTTTCCTCATATTTATTTAATACCTTGCATAGACTTCTTGTTCAACAAAATTGTACCGTAAAAGGAACAGAACTCTCGACAGCTATTGGTTGAAAAGTAAACAGGAAGTTAATTGACGCTAATCTCACCCGTTTTACAGCTGGGAAACATTCAGTTTGTACAACCCCACGTCTGTATGACTTTGTGCCATGTCTTTCACTTGGATCTACTTTCTTTTACTGGAGCTGTGTTCAACGATACCCGAGATTGCTTGGTCACAAGGTTGGTTATTCAAGTATGTTCTTTGACGAAATGAAAACTGAGAAATCGATTCTTTCAAAAAAAAAAAGCCGCAATTGACAGAAAATAAAGCAACGGTGTCATCGTTAATGTTTTTCCAATGTTTGCTGCAAGCTACAGATGGCGGCTTTTCAATTTCCTGATGGAAATAGCACCTTTTACAGTTGGAGCAGGAGGATGGTATATTTTAATAAGTTTAGAGAAGTTGTGGGTCCTTAGTGAACTAACTCATTTGCTCGTTAAAAAAACATGACGGACTTTTCTCTGCCTTTCACCTCGAATAGTTTGAGGAGGCGTACTACAAACAAAATTTCGACTCTCACAAATAAAGGAATTTATCAAATTGGAAATTATTTCCCTTTTTGTGGAATTTAAAAGCCTTGAAAACAAATAAGATAAGCTTAAACGGAAATGTTAACAATTTTCAATGCAAATTACCATTCAATTCCGCAGATGGATGTCTCGTAGCCTAAGGTATTTATGAGTAAATGCAAGCAGTTCCTCTCCTGATATAAACATGTTATTTAACATCATCTTTCCGATAAAGGGTGAAAAGAAAAGCTTTTCAAGCCAATTTTGGGTACAAGTTCAGGTAATTCCCGCCGGTGTGTAACATCTGCCTACGGCTATTACACATTTACATATATATTTACATTTTCCTGTTTTCATCTTCTAATGATATTTACCACCAATGAAACAGAACATCTTTCTTATTGCAAGTTAAGCCTCCCCGATTTTTATCTTTTTGGATTAATCTCTAGCGGACTCTAATTTTTAGGGCATCATAATCTTTCATAAACTTTGACATATTTTTTTTTCACCACGAGAAAAAAAACGCGTTTTTAAACACAGCGTATGAGATGTTTAGTCAAAACGTGACATCTGCCTCAGCTGTAATCAGAAAGGAAAACATTTCGCAACATTTGGCCTTAATTCAATACCTAACCGCCATTCCAGCGAATTGATCGGTAGTTTATTCGCTGGAATGGCGCTCGGTCATTTTTCTGTTGACCGGCTTCATTTGCCTTCAAGGAGGCAAAGTCGAATAGCTAATAGTTTTATCGTGTTCTGCATTTAATAATTTATTTATTGTTTTTTATTTTATTTTGGTTTCATGAGAAACATACCGTGTAAATTTTTTTTTTCTGAGGGCACTCGAGAAGGTGCGGAGTAACCTTTAAGGCAAAGACAGAAACTGGATCTCCCACAGTAACGTGAACACGTAATATGAAAAGAAACAACAACACTAATTTCATCACTTCCTCGGGTAAAAGGAAAGAATCTATCCAAAAACGTCAGTTACTCCCATTCAAAGTCTCTAGTTTGCAAGAATCAGTACGTTTCTTTTAGTAATTGTCTTCAACCCACAGAAACTCATACTAATTTGGATTCCAAGTATGGGCAGAATTCAAGACAGAATCTACTTTCAGTGGACAAGTTCCATTATCTAAATGTACCCCGAATTGACGTAATTACACCATATGACTACTTTGAATGTATCTTGAAATGTCTCGATCATCCTCTTTGCGTTTCTGTGAACTTTGCCGCCGAAGGAAAAAAGTGGTGTGCGTTACTGTCCTCCAACAAGTTTAACGACCCCGACAAACTCATAGAAAGCAAGAGTTCGCATCACTATTCGTCTTTTCAGGTAAGAATCTTTTGTTGTCATTAAAAAGCTTTTCAACTTAAATGACTTAAAAATAACTGCAGCAAGTGCAGTAATAATGATAGTAATCACTCAAGAAGCACACGTGCTCTTAGCATATAACAAAGGAAAGGCACTGTGTCCTTTCTATTTTTTTAATTGCAGAATCCTTGTGGAAGCAGCCCATGTCAGAAAAATTCTACTTGTCAAGCTGGGTTTACTTCAAAAGGATACCGTTGTGTCTGTACACAAGGACTCAGGGGAGAGAATTGTAACCAAGGTATTTTGTAGCTTTTTCATCAAGTAATGCAAATATTCCTGCCTTTTTATGCTTGGTATTCTTGTTTTTCTGCTTAAGTAAATTTCCGAAATTCTCCAAAGTCACTGACTTTATGTTTAAATATGTTAGTTGTGTATAATGAAAAACCCCCTTTTTACTTAGGTTTTCGATGGCCAATCCGTTTTGCGGTTTGGGGAATCATTAACTTCTAACACAATTTAGTATGTTTTTGGTTATCCCCAACCGACTCATTGCGATTTAGAGAACAAGAGTTATTATGTTACGACTTGTAGTGAGGGAGTCATTTGTGCCAACTTATCAAAATCATATATAAAAGCTTTACACAAAAACTATTTGAATTTGATGAAAATACATTTTCATCTAGACTGCCAAAAAAGCCATTCATTTCATTTCCGATTAGTAAAATGAGAATGCCAGGACAGTCTAGTACAGCAGAGAGACCTATAGATCTCTGCATCGTGTGCAAGGACTCATATAGGAATCTTTTCTACTTTTATTTTTCCAGTCATTCTGCCTCAGAACTGTTCCCAAACCCCAAAGAAAACAGGAGTCTACGAAATTTCCGATCATGGATCAGACTCATTCCCAGTGTACTGCGACCAGACAAGTGATGGAGGTGGTACGTCAAACTAAAAAGCAGGATCTCGATGGGTTAACCGTTAGGAGTAAAACGGTCGAAAATTCAGCCGTTAGGCGTATAAAATTGGAAAATTTAAACCGTTAACCGTAAATAGGCCAAAGCTTAACCATTAGACGTAAAACCAATCAACACATTGAGACCCTCGAGTAAGGGTCATCAGTATCGCTTTGAGGACTAACGCTCCAAACGTCAGCCTTTAAACTCTTTAAGGTGGCCAATTTACGTTTTCAACTAAGTTGACAACATTAGATTACCCTGTTATACTCTCCCACCGACGCAGCACCACAGTTTCTCTCCAAACTAACCCCCTTTTTTCCCCAAAAAATATTTCATTTAGAAGTGGCTAACTCACTTGGCTAGGAAGGGCCGTGGACTTAGGTCATGTCCATTCAGTCAATTATAAAAACTATTTCTAGAGTTTTCCAAAGGAACAAGCAATTTTCACTAACCTGGACAATTTTTGACAATTTTTTTGCTATTTTAAGGTTGGACGATGATATTCAAATACATTGGAGGAGATTCTTCCTCTCCGACTGCTGACACGTTATGGAGTTCATTCGACACATTATCAGAAAATGTTATCGCTGCCTTAGATACCACTTCAACCTACCAGGGAAACTACAAAAACCGTATCGTTCAAAGTTGGCAAATTTTTAGCCCTCAAGAGGTAAGTCCGGAAAATATCTACACCACAAGGGGTTAGGCTAAATGCACCTTATTTTACAAATTTCTTATACAATGTCAATGTATTTCCACAGAAATGGCCTGTAAAAATAAATCACTGGCAGTTAGATTTTTGGATTTTTTTTTCTCATAAGCCTGAGGTTTCCACCTAATGGAAACTTGTCTTCAAATTGTTTGTTACGAAACACTTTTCCAAATGATGTTCATCATGTTCCTAAAGACAAACCAAGCAGGCACTTTTCTCAACTGCTCTTGCCTCTTTGTAAAGGAATTAAGGAATAGAATAAAATAGAATATAAATGGTATAAAAGAATATAAACCAAAACAATTTGTTTCAGAGAGTAATATCACAGGCCATGCAATGAGATCCCTATTTGTTACGTTGCTTTGTTTACCTTACTTCCCAAACCTTAAGAGTGTATCGTCTTGGGAATAGGTATAAGGAAAGTGCTTATGTTTTATCCTTGTAGGAGAATAGTTCTTAGAAAAACTTTGCCTTCTCGAGTTTACATAGAGCCATGGCATGTGGTACTGAAAAGAAGTTTGTAAAAACACAATAAGAATTGATCAACAATTCTTTAAATTCCCCGATGTAACGATTCTTATCTTATCCCATGCTTATGTATTTGATATGTAAACAACAGATAATTTTCTTGTATGACTAGTGCTTTACACGAATAGTGTCTATGAAGTTCAATGCCAGAGGAACAAACGTGGACTGGTTTACACAAAATAATCTACTTCAATCACCATGGACAGATCTTAAGAGTGCGACAAACATATATCCCTTTAGAATCAATGGACATCACGGTGCACGAAACTTTGAAATTACAGCTAAGTACGTAGGATGCCCTAAGGATGTTGGGTGGTTTATGATCGGGGGAGCTTTCTGTGCCTGGGAGAGATTTCACCCTGTGCCGGCAATTTTATACAGCAAGAAAACTCACAGAATCACATGGAATAATGTCCAAGGTAGAAATTGATTTTAAAATTCTTGAAATACTTCTGTTATGTATGAAATCTTGGAACACCTTTATTACTGTTTTTGTTTGTTTGTTTGTTTGTTTGTTTGTTTTTGTTATAAAATCAGGGAAATAACGAGATATTTCCTAAACAGACCTAATGGAATGGTTTCGTTGTCATTCATTTTTTATTTCTTTTTTTTTATTAAAGCAGATATAATGGTATGTAATAACTTGCTGAGATAGTCGTAACTGTTCTAGTCGACTCCTCCTTGGATAACTCGGCAATCTCCTTTTCTTCTTCAGGGGCGTGACCAGGATTTTTGAAGCGGGATGGAGTGGGGGTCTCACTGTGTCAAATGGAGAGTACTCGCCAGATTGCCATGTCGACCTTTCTTAAATATGGTGTAATAGTGATATTTTTAAGACGCCTCAGCGCTCCCCTCTCCCCCTCTTTATTTCATCCGAGTGTCAGAATTTAATTGCAATTGTTAATTATTGGGCAAAATTCCGGTAGGAAATTGAGAGGAGAAGTGTAATAACTGCACGAGTCATCTGAAATTTAACCTCTCCGATGATTAAAAGGCCGGTGCTCTAAATCCGGTTTCACTCGGAAAAGGTCACTTTTGCTAACTTTTTATTTGTTTTCTTTTCTCCATCTATCTCTAATTATGGATTATGTATTATGTTAACAATCTATTTAATGAGATCTCAATAAATAGTTTACTATGTATTATTTATCGCTAGTTTTTTTTGTTATATTCTTTTCTCAAGCCGACGTCGGGGGCGCTGAGGTCATGGTTGTGTATGTACGTTGAAGACCGAGGATGCCAGCCAATGAATAATCTGAATGAAATGTTGAGAAGTAAAACTTCTGCCTTAACGTTATACGCAAAATGACTGCAAAATCATACCAAAGTGCTTGACTGTAACTCGTTGGTTTTGAAGAAGAAGTGGCTTGTTACTGCCAACGACGCTTATCTTTATCCGCCGTATTCTCTCTGCTCGAGACATTTTCTTTTCGTCATCAGAATTTGACGCGAGCTTGTCAGAGAGATATTCGTTGACCGTAACTTGCCAACGAAACTCGCTTTTATTAAATAGCTTAATGGCTTTTATTCTTTTCGATACTAATGCAATACCTTCTTTTGACGCGCGTTTCGCTCTCTCTAAGGAACTACTTTTCATGGCGTTCGAGGTTTAATGCATCTTATCGAGAACTTGAAACTAATAATCAAGTTGCTGCTAGTTGCCCTTCCAGATGTGTTCACAGACCCGACGGACTAACTCTTAGTTCTTATTACTCAACACTTATATACCGTGATTCAAATTAGTTAACACATAACTTAAGACATATCGAAACACTCACTGATAAACACACATTGCCATTCAGAACGTGCAGGAATAAAATATCTGCTTAGCTTCGTAACGCAAATAAATTGTTAATTAACACAGTGTTATAGTTGTTGTGTTAGTTTTTAAATAAGATGGGAATTTCAAACAACTTTGTATAAGTTCGATAACGGTGGGTAGGTGTAAAGTTAGTGAGAGAAATAACCTTGAAAATTAATGGCCTTTCATCCTTGCAGCCTTTATGTAGCGAAACTGGCCATGGAAACGAAGTTTACGCTTTGGCATTCTGTAAAATTAATATTTGAATTTTCCTCATATTTATTCCTCGCGTAGACTTCTTGTTCAATAAAATTATACCATAAAAGGCACATAGACTCTAGACAGCTATAGGTTGAAAAGTAAACATGAAGTTAAATGAAGCTAATATCACGCTTAGTACAGGTGGGAAAAATTCAGTTTGTACTCCATGTCTGTATGACTTTGTGCCATGTCTTTCACTTGGATCTGTTTTCTGTTACTGGAGCTGTGTTCAATGATACCCAAGATTGCCTGGTCACAAGGTTGGTTATTCACGTATGTTCTTTGACAAATGAAAACTGAGAAATAGAATCTTTCACTACTACCGTAAAAAAAAGAGGCACGATTGACAGAAAATAAAGCAACGGTTTCATTGTTATCGTGTTTTCAATATTTCCTGCAAGATACAGATGGCGGCTTTTCAATTTTCTGATGGAAATAGCACGTTAGCATTTACCGCTGTTTGTTCTTTGACATAATGGGCCGGTTATTTGCACGATGCCAAACTAACCCAAACCACGGTTTTACCTAATCATTGGATTTCGAGGATTCTCTATAGGGGGGTTGATTTAATTGAATGAATTTCCTTCCACTATTCGCTTTCGGCCCTCTGACACTGTTCACAAAAATAAAAGTTCAGATGAAAGGTTCGGCCAAATAAAAGATGGCTTAGAACTCGCTTTTGTTAAACAAAGGAAAAACTTTGTTTAAATAACCAGCTGTATGTGTTTCGTGAACAGTTGAAGATGGGAAAAATTAAAGTGCGATGCGATAAAATCGCACCGTAAGAAATCGCAACAAATTACCGAAGAGCACATCCAGACATTTCTGTTTTATCTTTTACAATTGGAGGATAGTATATTTTAATAATTTTAGAGAAGTTGTGAGCCCAAGTGTGCTACCTCATTTGCTCATTAAAAAAACATGACGAACTCTTATCTGCCATTCACCCAGATTATTTTTATGAGGCGTACTTCAAGCAAAATTTCAACTCTTACAAATGAAGGAATTTACCAAAGGGGCAATTAATTCCGCTTTGCGGAACTTAAAAGCACCGTAGGTAAGCCTTGTAAAAACAAATAAGATAAGCCTAAACGGACATGTTGACAGCTTCCTAATTAACACTCAATTTCGTAGATGGATGTGTCGTAACCTAAGTAAAATATTTATGAGAAAATGCAAGCAGCTCCTCTCCTGACATAGACATGTTATTGAACATCATCATTCTGAAATAGGGTGAAATGCAAAAATTTTCGAGCCAATTCAGTTTTGGGTACAAATTCAGGTGATTCCCACCGGTGAGTAACATCTGAGAACGCTTTTTCCAGCCTCAAACAGAACCGTTAGTTGCCTGCGGCAATCTAAAATAAAACGAGTTGAAAATTCCCCCAAAAATTAATGTTTACATACACGAAAAAGCACTTAGGAAGCACTTAAAAAAAAAAACATGACGAACTTTTATCTGCCATTCACCCAGAATAGTTTTACGAGGAGTACTACAAGCAAAATTTCAAATCTCACAAATGAAGGAATTTACCGAGGTGGCAATTATTCCACTTTGCAGTACCTGAAGGCTCAGCAACGTAGGAAAGCTTTGTAAAAACAATTAATATAGGCCTAAAAGGACAAGTTAACAGTTTCTTAATTAACATTCAATTTCGTTGGTGGATGTCTCCGTAACCTAAGTGAGGTATTTATGAGAAAATGCAAGTAGTTCCTCTCTTGACATGAACATGTTATTGAACATCATCATACTGAAATAGGGTGAAAATGAAAACTTTACGAGCCGATTTTGGGTACAAATTCAGGTAATTCCCGCCGGTGAGTAACACCGGATACTTATTTTTCAACTTTAAACAGAACCGTTTGTTACCTGCAGCTATTTAAACTAAACCGAGTCAAAAATTCCCTTAGGAAATAATGTTTACGTAAACGAAAAAGCAATTACCGAGTCACCTGTTGCAAAAAAAACTTATCATTATCTTATCATATGTTATTTACCACAATCAAAAAAAAACATCTTTATTATAGCAAGTGAAGCCTCTTCGTTTCTCACCTTTTTAGATTAATATCTAACGGAATCTAATTTTTAGGGCGTCATAAACTTTTATTAACTTGGACATATTTTTTTTTCACCACGTAAAATCAGAAGCGTGTTTCAACACAGCGTATGACTTCGTTACTCTAAACATCACATCTACCTCACTTAAGCCTAAAAGAACATGTTAACAATTTTGTAATCAACATTCAATTCTGTAGATGGATGTCTCGTGACTAAGTAATATTTTTAGGAGAAAATGCAAGCAGTTCCTCTCCTGACATAAACATGTTATTGAACATCATCATTCCGAAATAGGGTGAAAAGAAAAACTTTTCAAGCCAATTTTGGGTACAAATTCAGGTGATTCCCGCTGTTGTGTAACATCTGTATGCGCATTTTCCAACTTTAAACACAACTGTTGGTTACCTGCGGCTATTTAGACTAAACCGAGTCAAACATTTCCTCAACAGATAATTTTTACATACGCGAAAAAGCACTCAGCAAGTCAACGGTTGCAAAAAAAAAATTTGATTTCCTTTAGAATAAACGAGAAATACTTCGCAAAATTTGGCCTCCAAATGTCTTAGTTTAATACCTGAGCACCATTCCACACAATTGATCTGTGGTTAATTCGCTAGAATAGTGCTTGGTCATTTTTCTGTCAACCGGCTTCATTCGCCTTAAAGGAGGCAAAGTCGAATAGCCTACAATTTAATCGAATTCTGCATTGCATAACCTATTCATTGTTATTTAGTTTATTTTGGTTTCATGTGAAAATCGCGTGTAACTTGTTTTTCTGAAGGCACTCGCCAAAATGAGGGGTAACCTTAAAAGCAAAGAGAGAAACTGGATTTCCCACGGTAACGTGAACACATGCCAAACATGGTAAACTTTCGTTATTGATAGAAACAATACTAATTTCAGAAGTTTCTCGGGTAAAAGGAAAGAATCTACCCAAAAACGTCAGTTACTCCCATTCAAAGTTTCTAGTTTGCAGAAATCAGTACTCTTCTCCCCCAAATAATTACAGTTAAGAATATCCTAACTTTTAAGAATTATCTTCAACCGACAGATACTCGTACTAATTTCGATTCCGAGTATGGGCAGAATTTAAGACAGAATCTGCTTTCAGTGGACAAGTTCCATTATCTAAATGTACCCCGAATTGACATAATTACACCATATGACGACTTTGAATGCATCTTAAAATGTCTTGACCATCCGCTCTGCGTTTCTGTGAACGTTGCCGCCGAAGGAAAAAAGTGGTGTGAGTTACTGTCCACCAACAAGTTTAACGACCCCGAAAAACTCAAAGAAAGCAAGAGTTGGCATCACTATTCGTCTTTTAAGGTAAGGATCTTTCGCTATCATTAAACAGCATTTCAACATTAAATGACTTAAAAATAACTGCTGTAAGTGATGTTTCTTTTTCCTTTTTCCTTTAAAGTTTCCTTGTTCTTCCAATCCATGCCAAAACGGAGGAGCTTGCGTTGTCGCCAAACACAAACTGGAGATGTTCGAGTGCATCTGTAAGAACGGTTACTCTGGAGAATTTTGTGAAAAAAGTAAGTTTAAATCATTTGATGCAAGATTCGCCATTGCGCTGCATGTCTGTAAAGTATCTGCAGATTTTCCTTAAGTTTATTTTATGGTTAAAGCAGCCTTTACAGAATTGTATCCATGTATTTTTCCCCACTCCTGGTCATAGTTCATCTGATGGAACAAAATAAAAAAAATAAAAAACCAACCAAACAAACAAGCAAAAAAACTAGTAATTTACCAAATATCCTATAGCTAGATTCATTCCCCTCTTTTTTGTATTTTGTAGTATTTCCAGCCGTTCAGCTTCAGAACTGCTCTCAAGCTCCCAAGAAAACTGGGATTTACAACATTTTCAATCACGGATCTGGGCCTTTCCCTGTCTACTGCGACCAGACAACGGAGGGTGGAGGTATGTGGCACACTGATCATGAATTAGATACTTCAGTGGTTTTCGTAGAAGTCGTTGTTTTGAGGTAGTGAGGCGACTTGGTTTCGAAAACCTTCGGATTTAAGATGCTGTAGCTCCTAGGTGGATGATTTTCTGCTCCTTTCCCACTGTCTCACTAATAGTCAATGTTGATACCTAAACAGTCATTACAAGATAAATCAGCGCATTGGAGACAGTCTCGCCAAAATCTGAAGTTTACAGCAAGAAGGTTTTTAAACACCAAATGGTTCAACTCAATAAATCGCTTTGTTTGCTGCGCGCCCGGTTTTTTCCTATTCCTATTCAAAATTGCCCGACATAGACTTCATCCTGTTCTTTCTGTCTTTTGCGTCACTTGGCAGCAAACTTTAGTGTCAAAAGAAAACAGTCACAATGTAATATCCAGTTATTGAGGCGGAAAAAACAAGAAAATGTCATGAAGTAGGCAGTTTTTAGTATTTAGGACTGTTTCAGTCTGAAACTGTTTCTAAATGCAAAACTTAAATGTATTTACTTTTACATACATTTTAAGACCATTAAAGGTTAAGCTGGAACAAATTAACATGAGGCAAGAGCGGTTAGAAATAAACTAAAAACGCGTTCAAATCGCGGTTTCATGGAGACAATTCAAAATTTGGAAAATTTGGATTGCAGGAAGCTTACAATTTCTAAAAACCACTTTTTTTTGGTTCTTTAATCAAGGTTGGATGATGATATTCAAAGTTATTGGTGGAATAAATTCTTCCTTTTCTGCTGGGGAGTTCTGGAATTCATCCGACACATTTTCAGAAAATGTTACCGCTGCCCTAGATACCACTTCATCCTACCGAGGAAACTACAAAAACCGTATTGTACAAAGTTGGCAAATGTTCAGTCCTAAAGAGGTAAATACCGCTTAACACGCTGTGCTGACCTAATGGGCTACATCTTCCTAAATAGGGTGTGAGTTAAGTGTAGAAAACTCAACACAGCGGTTGGTCAAGTGTGAGGCATGCGCAGATAGATGATGTATGACCGGCCGCGCGCCAATTTCCCGTTCAACAGCAATCCTTTGGAAATGTAGAGAGAACAGTATGGAGAATATGCATACTGATGTTAGGGTGTAAAAGGGTTTGATATCGTAGCCTAGAGGTTTTTGTGGTTTTTTTAGCCTGAATTAACTACATCTGTGTTGGGCCGCCTCTTAAGACACTTTTTAACATCGTCTCAATTCCTGCACATGTGGAAACATTTTGTACTTGTGGTTAACTAAAACCAGAATTTCGTTTAGTGATCGTGACAGGTTTCTGCTACCCTGCGAGAGTTTAGTATCTTGTCGAGGAGCCCGGGGAAATAACTTAGGCTGAGGCTCGAACCCAAACTATAAGTCTTGCACGAAGAAAGTGTTTGTTTCCTTCTAAAGTTGTTGCCCGGAAATTTTAAGTTTCTAAAATGGTTGTAGATGTTACACTCTGCGTAATTACACGTTGCATTCTTGGCTAAAAGGTAACGCGTTTCTCGGTTTATAATGAGCATCGAAGTAACACAGGGTACTATTTGGCTACTTTTGCCATGAGACCTGTGAAACATGGGAATGGCTAGGCTAGGCTCCCTTAACCCTTTAAGTGATTAACATGAAACTTCTCCCCATAATATCCATACATTATCCAGCAAACTGGTAATGAGAATACTCAAATCTATCAGGTAGGAATTGTTATCTTATCTTAAATTCTCGTAATTAATTTACAAGGAAAGGCGAGGCAGCAAGAAGGGAGAATTAACAATCATGATCAGATTTGTTGGGTGCAGATCCCAGATCTTGGCTGCTTGCGCGTATGTAGGGACAACAACAGACAAAAAAAGAAAAATTAAGGAATTAAAACATCAAAAGAAACACGAAGTAAAATCAATAAAAAGATAAGAAAAAATAATTTCAATAATTACCGACCTTAATTGAAGTTATTTTTAAGAGTTGCAAAGCTGACGTCTCAAGGGTTACCCCTTCGTCAGGACACTTTGACGAAGGGCTAACGCTCGAAACGTCAGCTTTGAAACTTAACGGTGGCCACTTCACATCATCAACTCGGTTGATAATACCAAATTACCTTGTTATACTCTCGCATCGACGCAGCACCACAGTTTGTAAAGAAACTTTACCCCCTTTATTCATTTAACCCTTCAACCCCACAAGTGACCAAGACAGAATTTCTCCTTACAACATCAATACAATATCAAGCAGGTAGGTGATGAGAATAGAGAAGAATATCAATTATGGGATTATTAGTTGATCCAATACCAACTTCTCTGAACTAACATCATAAGAATTGCATGACAGATAGTAAGGAGAATCACTAATAAGATCTTGGGAGTGAAAGGGTTAAAGATATATATTTTTTATGTCACGGTAGGTTCGTGTAGCACTTTACACAAATGGAACTGAAGTCGTGTCTATCATATTCATTGCTAAAGGGACAACACACTTGGACTGGTTTTCACAAAAAAATCTTATTCAATCACCATGGACTGATCTTAGGAACGCAAAAAACATATTTCCCTTTCGCATCGATGGCCACCATGGGGTGCGCAGCTTTGAAATTACTGCCAACTACGGGGGATGTGAGCTAGACTCTGGATGGCTTGTGATTACTGGACCTGACTGTGGCTGGGAAAGAAGACAAGGTGTTGTCCCAGGAATACTATACAGCAAGAAAACTCACAATATCACATGGAATGATAATCAAGGTAGAAATTGCCTCTGAAAATCTTGTAATACCCCTGTAACTGTTTGTTTGTTTGTTAGTGATGATTATGTGCCCTGAAAAACCCTGTCCAATGGTTTCGTAGATATTCTTTCAATTTTAAAATTAATGGCCATGGAGATATAACAATACCTGAAGCAAATTCCCTCTCCAGATATTATGATATATTTGTCGAATTATCCAATCGACATTTTCTTGGGATTATTCGACAAAATCCTCTTCTTCAATAAACAACGTATTAAAAAGTGATATTTTTGAAGAACGTTTTTACACACAGTTATTCTGGGGTTAAGGTAATTAATCATAATTGTTAATTACAAGGACAAGATCCAAGTTTAAACTTAAGAGAAAGTTGTACAATGATGGAGGGAGTCAACTATAACAAAACTTCGCAAATGTTAACAAGGCTAGAGCAAACTAAATCTAATTTGTGGTTTTTTTATGTTTTTGTACACTATTCATCTTTAAAAATAGATAGTTATTATGATAATGGTTTGTTTATTGAGATCTAAATAAATAATTTACTACGTATTGCCTATCAATGTTTATTTTAACTTTTTTTTCAAGCTGATGTTGGAGTTGCTGAGGTGATGATTGTGTACATACGTTGAAGACCAGAGATGCCAGTCAAGTAATAAACAAAGCAAAGACACGTATTCTAATTAAATTAAGAAAAAACTTAACTAATTGATTGATTGATTGTTAGACCTCCAAACTGACTGACCGACCGACCTACCTTTCAACCTAAGCATCTAATTTCTCCTTAAAGTATCACTGCAGAATCAAACATTAATGTAATGAGAAAAAAAAGGAAATCAATGCAATTAATAAAATCTCAATAAATTCTCATTTTAAGTATCATAGGAAATACATTGTGAGCAGTATAGAGAATATACATATGCTGATAACGAGGTTTCACCCTTCCTCTTAATGTAACAGTTCGGTCAAAATTATAATATGAACTCCTTCTAAGTACATTTTTACTCCTGATTTCGTATGGACGTTTATCCGTTAGATTAAAAGAATCCAGAAATAATTATTAAGACTGTAAAGAAGCAACTCGGATTTGTATGAGTGGTTATTTGATATGTTATGTCACATTTAGAGAGCTCGTACCGAACAGAAATGTAAGTGGTGACAGATTAATGCTTTGAGTTGTAGACTTGATTAACAGCTGATTCGTTTTGAATTAAACCTGATACAAGGGTTGTACTTCATTGCTTATAAATCCTCTTTACTGTTTAAAGGATACAGTGGATTTGCAAAGAATAAAAGTTCAATAAAATCGTATCTCAAGGAGTAAGCTTTCTTTGAGTTCAAAAGCGTTTTGCTCAAACTGCGACCTGTGATCTTATGTTGTGATCGTCCGGGTGAGAGTAGTCCTGAACAAAACTGTTGTGGGCAGTAATGACTGACATTTCGACAACTTCAATTGTAACATTTGGGTTTAAACTATTTACTATACAAACTGTAACCTAAATTTTTCAACTATAGATATAATCAAGAGATCACGATCCCCAAAGACAAAGTTAATGCCAACACAGGAATATTTTCTACAACGGTAAAGACGTTATTGCAGAAAAGGTTCCGCTGAGCCTTTTAAATGATTTGTTGTTAGCGAACAAACACGGCGAGGACGTCTGCAATCCCAACATTTCCTGTGAGATGGAATCATAACAGAGGCTTTTTTTTCAAAGGCTGAATGATTCTTTAGTTAAAATGATATTCATTCAGAAGTGAGAATTTCGCATGTGAAAAGTCAATGGTGCGGATGTACGTCTGTACGTTGGTGAATACTAAGAAACAAACAAAACAAGCAGAAACAAACAGGTACAGTAACAACGTATCAGGTAGTAAATGTGGATTGTTCATACAAGACCTTTCCATAAGTAAAGACTAATTTTCGGGAAATGGGAAGAAAATGCGAACTAGTAGAAGACGTGATCATGAATTTCGTGTTTTGCTTGACCGTTTTTCCGTGGCCCTTTGATGATTAAAGAGAATAGTGTGGGGGGGAGGGGAGGGAAGGGAAGGGGTCAAGCCCCATTTAAGATATTTTGAAACGATCACCACTTTTGTTTTTTTGAAGATGTTCGTTCATCTTTTTTACTTCTTTGACTACGTCAGGAAGAAAAAAGCTGCTCAGGCGATAAAATCTGGTGTCTCGAATAGCATGAGATGAAGTAATACTTGAACCACAGAATTTTTTGTTAGTTATTGGTACCCTATCAACAGAATACAATGCCGAAAATATTTCAATATCAAAATTACCGTAATTTTCCATACGCGACGCCATGCGCTGCTTGCTGTATTGGATACTAGGCTGAGGTGATCGTCTGTCCCAAGGACATACTGGGTGACTAGTAACTACCAACCAACCGATATCAGTTTGACAACCAGTGTAAGGGCCAGTTATCTCAAAGAAGCGATCGGAAACTATGGGACCCAGAAGGCCAAAATTTACGGATGGGAACATCTTGAGATCACTCCATGGCGAGTAAATTAGGTTTTCATGTGAAAACCAATTCAAGTTGTCTGTATCAGTGGCATTGAACTTGAGGGAGGTGACTTGTTGACTGTCCTTGTATATAACGACGCGAACCTGAGGTGCATGGAAGTTAAAATCGACTGAAATTAACCCTTTGTAAAGAAACAATTTTTGTTAACTTTAACATTACGATATCACAAAACATGAGTAGATTTTCCAGGTTATAGGATCTTCATACTGTATCCTTAGTGACAGTTCGCATCATAGTCAACATACTAATCACTCAAGTAATTACTCGTTTCAAATCCATTTGCTACTTTCAAATTCTGAAAAAGTTCACAAGTCCACAATTTTCATTAGTTCCCTGACTGCTGAACGATCTCCTGGTGGCTTGAGTTCCTGCATGCCTTTGACTACTCCATTAGCTACTGCGCTCAATAGTATTCTTACCCAGATGTAATAAACTATAACCAAGTGTATTAAATTTGCCCTCATTGTCAAGGAATGATACCAGGTGACAGCCCCTCTCATGTCGCCCTTTCGTAGCAAGATTGTAACCTTTTAGTAGACTAGAAGATTACACGAAGAAGTAACAAAAAGTAAAGAAAGTATTAAGCAGTGTACACTGGGGTTAAGTACACGAGAAATGTTTACAGTGTATTTTAGTAATCCGAAAAGCTCATCATTGGTGCCTTGCTTGACTATATGGTAGATCTAAGCGTTTCCCAAACTGTCCCCGGCACAAGTTCCGTATTAACATGAACATTTGAGAAGGTGAACTACTTTTCAACGGGGTAAAATATGAATTTGTGGCAGCTTTGACATGAATCAAATATCTATCAAGGATTTCAATTGGCAGTGTCTCTCGTGCGTCTTAAATCCCCAATGATTACAGAGGCTCTTTCAGTAGCAAGCGTCATCTGCAGGTAATGAAGCTTATGCTTTTACTTGGGCATGTGTACTACTGAATGTTTGGGGTAATTTATTCATTAACCTTCCTCACTTCTTTAGGGTCAAAATATTTCCAGTTCAGTACAATACGATTCTTGTAATGAGTTGGATAAGCTGACGTTAAGTCGAAGGTTTCGTTGAGATTTTCATGATGGAGGGAGGGTGACGACCAAATTCCACCAACGTCCAATGGAGAGAGGCCACTAACAAGTTTGAATACCATCGTCCAGCCTGTGAGGTGAAAATTTTATTAGACAAAGATTTTAAAAATTAGGTCATCTCGAAAAGTCTCCTATTACCTAACGCTTACGGAACAACAGAAAAAAGAATCACTGATCTAATCCAACAGCAGTGATGGACAGCTTAGAATGCGAAGGAAGTCACGTACACCTGTGGAAAAAATGCAATCGTCCATGTGAAACGAATGGATGATCCAGCAATTCCATGAATACGCTCGAGCGAAAAGCTATTGACGGAGTCTCCACAAGGCAATGACTACGCTCTTCAATTATATTTGCACTGATCAAGGGAAAAGTTAGTACTAAACGTAGACTTGGAACAGATTGAGACCAATTTTTCTTTTATCGTTTCATTATGTAACTTGTACCGAACATTCAGAATATGAGATACATCGTCCATCACTTTTCTGATCACAGTACACAGGAAAAAGGCCCCAGTCATGGTGAGATGTATTGTAAACTCCCGTTATGTTGGGTGCATCAGAACAATTATGAAAGTCTGAAGAAAAACAATTTATATCGAATCAGTACATTAGAGAAAAAACCACAGAGGCTGTATCCCGTACGATTTAACCTGTCATGATGAGCAGAAAGAAACGGAATATATAACTTATACATACCATAATAAGATGATGAAGCCAAGTTATTGAGTAATGAAGATTTACGCTCTTTCCAAATCAAATTTGTTTGATCGCCATTAACAGTCATGCAGTTTAAAGGCTGACGTTTCGAGCGTTAGCTCTTCGTCAGAGAGATTGTTTGTCTCACGATAGAGTCAATTTTGATGTAGATCACGACTTTGAGATTGATTTTTTTTTACGACGGTTTAAATTTGTCAATTTTAATAACTGAATTTTTGGTGCTAGTCTTGTCTCATTGTTCATCGTGGTGTAAGCGACGGGGTCGATTGTTAACGTGTCCGCATGGAAGAATTTGAGGAACAAGCGATAACAAATGCGACTTGCAAACCTAAGATCTGGAAACGATATGTAGAGGATACTTTCGCAGTCTTAGACCGGGACCATGTCGACACCAATAACAGCATACCAACGTGCTACAAATAGCGACATGTAAACAATGGACCTCATCGCTTGATGAAGACTAGCAGTATTGCAGTTGAAACACCGCAATCTACATCAAAAGTGACTCTATCGTGAGACAAACGAACAAAGTTCATCTCCTATCGAGATCCTCCTATTTAGTTTGACGTACCCCCTCCATCACTTGTCTGGTCGCAGTACACTGGGAATGAGTCTGATCCATGATTGGAGATTTCGTAGACTCCTGTTTCCTTTACGGCTTGGGAACAGTTCTGAGGCAGAATGACTAGAAAAATAAAAGTAGAAAAGATGCTAATACGAGTCCTTGTACACGATGAAGAGATCTATAGGTCTCTCTACTGTACTAGACTGTCCTTGCAATCTCATTTTACAAATCGGAAATGAACTGAGTGGCTTTTTTGGCAGTCAAGATGAAAATGTATCGTCATCAAATTCGAATACTTTTTGTGTAAAGCTTTTATATATGATTTCAATAGGTTGGCACGAATTACTTCCTCACAACAAGTCGTAACGTAATAAATCTTGTTCTAAATCGCAATGAGTCGGTTTGGGAAAAACAAAAACATGCTAAATTGTGTTAGATGTTAATGATTCCCCAAGCCACAAAACGGATTGGCCATCGAAAATCTAAGATAATTATGACACAAACATATACTTGCTAAAAAGTGAGAAGGAGGTTTTTCGTTATACACAACTAACATATTTAAACATGAAGTCAATGACTTTAGAAAATTTCGTAAATTTTCCTACGCAAAAAAACGAGAATACCAAGAAGTATAAAAAGGCAGGAATACTTGCATCACTTGATGAATAAGCTTAAAATACCTTGGTCACAATTCTCCCCCCCGAGTCCTTGTGGACACACACAACGGTATCCTTTTGAAGTAAAACCAGCTTGACATGTAGAATTTTTCTGACATGGGCTGCTTCCACAAGGATTCTGTGATAAAAAAAAAGGAAAGAGTGCTTTTCCTTTTTTTTATTCTGAGAGCACGTGTGCTTCTTGAGGGATTACTATCACCATTATCATTATTATCATCTTTTAATTTTGAAAAGAGGTCATCAGAGTCATTCTTTCGAAAAAGCATTAAACCTCAAAAAGATTTCACCTGGTCTCCAACATCTGGAAAATTAATTTCGCCATGAATGAAGTCTGTTGTATGCTGCACCGCGTCCCACTGATTTAAAATTACCGAATTAAAGAGTGCAGGTAATCATCCTACAACATAGCTACCTTTTCTTTCTGTTTATATTTCTGTGGTCAACCAGTCAGTCGTGTTGAGTGAAGTTTCACCGAAAAAAAAACCTTTAGTTTTGTTTAGGTTGTAAGGCTTACTTCAATTCCTCGGTAGCTGAAGCCATTTCGGGTTATGAAGTTCACGCTGGTGACTTGTAAATGAGTGCTGTTATTCAGGTCGCATAAAGGAATCTCACTTAGTACTGGCCCGTAGTTGTAAGACACACAGTCAGGGTCCCCATAGCAAATTAGTTCACAGCCTTCTTCACTTTCAACTGGCACAGTTTTGATTATGTGATTAAGTAAATACTTGTCTTTGGTGACTGGTTTGAATAGAATGGCTCTGCACTCATCTGAATTTGCTGTCACAACTAAAAAGAAAAACAACCCAATATTATCTGTAACTGATCAACATTATCAATGTTCTATCCCCCTTAAATGATGCAAGTTCCTTACATCTGTAGCAAGTACTAGCATTTGAAAAACTTATAGTGATGAATTTGAAAACGAATAGTGATGCGAACTCTTGCTTTCTTTGAGTTTGTAGGGGTCGTTGGACTTGTTACAGGACAATAACACACACCACTTTTTTTCCTTCAGCGGCAAAGTTCACAGAAACACAGAGAGGATGATCAAGACATTTAAGATACATTCAAAGTCATCATATGGTGTGATCATGTCAATTCGGGGTACATATAGATAATGGAACTTGTCCACTGAAAGCAGATTCTGTCTTGAATTCTGTCTATACTCGGAATCCAAATCATTACGAGTTTTTGTGGGTTGAAGATAATTACAATAGGTTGGAATATTCTTAACTGTAATTATTTGGGGAAGAAACGTATTGATTCCTGCAAACTAGAAACTTTGAATGGGGGTTTTGGATAGATTACTTCCTATTACCCGAGTGACGGGTGAAAGTGGTTTTGTTTCTATCAATAATAAAAGTTTACTATTCTTGCCATTATTTCTGTCTTTGCCTTTAAGGTTACTCCGCACTTTAGCGAGTGCCTTAGGAAAAAAAAACATTTATACGCGATGTTTCGCATGAAACCAAAATAAAGTCAATAACAATAAATAGATTATTAAATGCAGAATACGATGAAATTGAAGGCTATTCTACTTTGCCTCCTTTAAGGCAAATGAAGCCGGTCAACAGAAAAAGAAGCGAGCGCCATTCCAGAGAATTTATCACTGATTAATTCGCTGGAATGGTGCTCAGATATTAATTGAGAACAAATGTTGCGAAATATTTTTCGTTTATTTTGATGGAAATTTATTTTTTCTTTATACTTTGAACTTTCTTCACAGAATCTTTAGTCTTTAGAATGCTAAAAAAGTGCGTCTTGATTGCAAGTGAGGCAGATGTGATGTTTAAACTGAAGAACTCATACGCTGTGTCAAAAAAGGCGTTCGTTTTCTCGTGGTGAGAAAAATATGACAAAGTTTATGATACCCTTAAAATTAGATTTCGCCAGAGTTTAATCCAAAAAATAAAAATCGTGGAGGTTTAACTTGCTATAAGAAAGATGTTCCGTTTCGTTGGTGGTAAATATCACTGTAAGATAAAAACAGGAAAATGTTAATTTTTCTTCTTTTCTTTTTGACAACAGGTGACTCGGTGATTGTTTTTTCGCGTATGTAAAACTTATCTGTTAAGGGAATTTTTAACTCGGTTTAATTTAAATAGCCGTTGGTAATTAACGGCTCTGTTTGAAGTTGGAAAACGTGTATACAGATGTAAGACACCTGCGGTAATTACCTAAATTTGTACACCAAATTGGCTCGAAAAGTTTTTCTTTTCACCCTTATTCGGAATGATGATGTTCGATTACATGTTTATGTCAGGAGAGGAACTGCTTGCAATTTCTCATAATTACCTTACTTAGATTACGAGGCATGAATGTTACTTAGGAAACTGTTAACATGTCCGTTTAGGCTTATCTTATTTATTTTTACAAGGTTTTCCTACGGTGCTCAGCTTTCAAGTTCCGCGCAAAGTGGAATATTTGCCACTGTAGTAGATTCCTTCATTGGTGAGAGTCAAAGTTTTGTTTGTAATACACCTCTTAAACTATTCTGGGTGAACTGCAGATAAAAGTTCGTCATGTTTTTTTAATGAGCAAATGAGTTTGTACACTAAGGGCCACAAATTCTCTAAACACATTAAAATATACTATCCTCCAACTGTAAAGTGCCATTTTTATCAGGAAATTGAAAAGTCGCCATCTGAAGTTTGCAGCAAACATTGAAAACACAATAACGATGACACCGTTGCTTTATTTTCTGTCAATCGCGCTTTTTTTTTACGGTAGTTGTGAAGGAATCGATTTCTCAGTTTTCATTTTGTCAAAGAACATATTTGAATAACCAACCTTGTGACCAGGCAGTCTTGGGTATCATTGAACACAGCTCCAATAATAGACAACAGATCCAAGTGAAAGACATGACACAAAGTCATACAGACATGGAGTCGTACAAACGGAATGTTTCCCAGTTGTACTAAGCGTGAGATTAGCTCCAAGTAACTTCCCATTCACTTTTCAACCAATAGCTGTCGAGAGTTCTGTATTTATACCTTTAATGGTACGATTTTGTTGAACAAGAAGTCCGTCCATACAAGGTATTAAATAAATATGAGGAAAATTTAAATATATTTTTTAACAGAATACCAAAGCGTTTAAACTCCGTTTCCATGGCCAGTTTTGCTCAATAGAGGCTGCAAGGATGAAAGGCCGTCAATTGTTAAGGTTATTTCTCTTGCTAACTTCACACGTACTCACCATCATCGAACTTATACAAAGTTGTTTAAAATTTCCATCTTATATAAAACCTAACACAATAACTATAACACTGTGTAAATTAACCAATTCCAATTGTTCGACAGAGAACGTCGTAGAGAATGTCAACATCCAATTGTAGGGTAGAAGGTACCGTTCAAAGAGGTACTTTCTTTTTGTTTTGTTTGTTTGTTTACTTACAAGCTGAAAGAAAGTAACAAGTCGTCAGTGTAAGTTTTCCGCGCCAATACTTTTTTTGGGAGAGTAGGATAACAGTGCAAAAAATACGAAAAAAAGCTGCACTATTATGTTACAAGATAATCTGGTTTTATCGATTGACTTGAATATGTAAATTTGCCACCGTAAAGGATTTCAGAGCTGATTTTTGAAAGCGTTCGCTATACGTCGGAGCTGATAGACGGTTTCATGAGAGCAAATGTCGATCTACACGCGCGTTTTAAAGTTCTGTATTTCTCTCATGCCCTTTGCAAAAACAAAATCCTCTTTCAAATTGCAAATGTTTTCCTAAATTTGGAAGTTTTCGCAATTTACCAAGATCCGTTGTTTCTTTGCATTCTTTTTATGCCTTTTTTATCAATTTCATTATGCAAACTTATCAAACTTTGCGCCTTCCGGTAGGGGTCTCCTCAGGATGGTTGCCTAAAGGAGAAAGTGTGGCGCCGTCAGAAAATGAAACACTTTCAGTGCCATCAGATTAAAATGTTCTTTCCTATGGAAGTTCCGTTTGTTTGTCGTATGACTTTTTGATTAATAATGGTAATAGGACCGAGTAATCAGACGAGTGATTAACAAAATCGGACGACCGTGAAGCGGGAGTCCGATTTGTCAATCACGAGTATGATTACAGACAGAGCTTGACGACACAAAGTCCTGTTACCAATTAATCATAACCGTTACAATTTCCGAAAAAAATACATTTAGGACAAACATCTCCGGTAGAGACAACGTCTAAAATAAAATTCCTCTATTTTGGAAATACCCCAGTTTTTCTTTCAGAATGAGTGGTTGTTGCTATGGTTATTTTGATCAATTCTGTGATTGGTGGATCGAGTCGAGTGGACTTAGTATAATTGTATGCTTCAACTCTCCCATTGCAGGTGTCCGATAACGGCCAACTGTCTGTTCACAACTGTACATGATAAGTGAAAAATAAAGCAGCTAAAGCACCAGTCACATTTGAGGAAATTGTAATGGTTATGATTAACTCCGTAGTGACACAAAGGCGGCTCTGAGGAGGGCTCGCCGTAATCAACTCCTTCAAATAAACGGAGATTTTCGTTTTTATGATTAAAAAAATGGATGCAAAAACTGACTTCTCAACTTTCATTAGAACTGAATTAGGAGGACCAAGTCAATTAAAACCATGCAGCAAGGGAAATTCGTGTTTCATTCTAATATCAACTACTTCGGGCCCTTCTGAATGGACACAATGTTTCGTTTCCTACTTTCCTTCGGTTGTATTCTCTCTCTCTAAAAACCAAAACCATTGCCCTATTAAAATGTATCCCCTATACAAGCAGTTGATTTTGACATAAACCATTTATCAATACCTCCACTAGTTGTCGTGTAAAAGTGATAGAGAGCCAGCCATATAAGCCTTACACTCATTGTCATCATCGTTGTCTTGGAGGAGTCATTCCGATGATCGCATCAAACGGTCTCAGCGTCTGCTGTAAGCGTAACAGCCTAACTCGACGGAGACATCGCCTGCAAGAGGGAGATTGAAAGCCTAAGTCAACGGACACAGCGTCTGAAGGGAGATTAAGAGCCTAAGTCGACGGAACTGGCGTCTGACGGAAGATTTACCTTGCAGTTCAACGAGAATATTTGGATTCCATTGATGTGTGTGATTTGAGTTATTTCCTCCCTTTTTCCTGTCTTCCTTTTGTTGTTGTTTAGAATGGTGATTATTTCTGAAAATGAATTTGAAGCAAGGGAAATGAACTTTTGCCAAGGGAAACTCATTTGAGACACAAAATCCACCTGCCAATGGCACCTTTTATTATGTAAAAATCGAGACATTCCGAAATTCACACGTTGAAAATTGTGTTGTTCTTGCGGTTGTTCTCAGGTTTGCGTGGATAGCGACTTATCCTTTGGATATAGTTATCTGCCCTTCAATCAGTTATGCTCTGAAGTTTAGGTTTGAGTTCTGACGCCGGAGATTCCGAAAACATTTTACGAAAATTGCTAGATCGAGTATTGTCGTCACCTGTTTCCTCTAGTTTTCTGATCTTCAGAGTTAATTCTCAGCCAATATTCGTTCGAATTTTCTTGAAATTTGACGAAACTTAAGTTAAGTTGTCTAAAATGGTTTAGTTTTTCTAACTTTTTGAGATATTGCGTGCAATTCTGACGGGTAATGAAATCGATTTTAAAATTATTTATTAAGATATCGATTGGGCACCGAGTTTCCACCTCCTATTTAAATTTCAATGAAAAACGTTGTTGATTTAAAAATTGATAGGTCGAGTTTTGTTGTCTTCTGTTTTCGCTAGTATTCTGGACTTCAGAGTTGATTTCTTAGCCAATATTCGGTCGAATTTTCTTGAAATTTGACGAAACTTAGGGTGAACCCAGTTAAGTTGTCTAAAATGTTTCAGTTTTTCTAACTTTTTGAGATATTGCGTGCAATTCTGACGGGTAATGAAATCCATGTTAAAATTATTTTTTTAAAAATATCGATAAGGCACTGAGGTTCCACTTATTATAATTCAATGAAAAACGTTGTTGATTTAAAAGTCGTCACAGTAGACTTCCCTATTACCTTAAATACTTCGACGAGTAAAAATTCTCTCTGCCTTCCGTAAATGGTCAGAGATATTGAGAATAAAGTTAATTCAGCTGCTTGTTTTATTTCGATTTGTAATAAAACACTGGTTTGTTAAGATGACAAAAAAGAAAACATCGAGCCCGCTGGAAATGACATCACGCAGTGAAGAAGATAACCAAGGTCACACAGAGGGGTTCCTGCCCTAATAGGATATTACAAAAATAAAATTCTGTGTATCCCCACAGAATTTAGTGTAGAAACGCGAGTTTATGCATTTTGCTTCGTAATTCATAGGCAGGAACACGGGCTGTCAATCTAAGGACTTAGACACCCCAGGCCCCACGACGAACTAATTATGTTCAACAGACATAGTCATTATATTATCAGTCGAGGATTCAACCAGTTGTATTCACACTCTTTGCCTTTCAGTTTTTCTTTCCTCGTCTAGAAGAAAAGAGGGCATATAGTAACTCAATCACAAAGCTAAGTATCAAAACAGAGCAAAAAACCCTAAACCATGAATTCTAGGTTTAGGTCAATGACTCTGTATCAACGCCCATATTCACCTAGCAGATACGAAATCGGCTTGTGTGTAGCTGATTGCGTTAAGATTTAAAAGTTAAAGCTTAGTGCGTTATACACAAGGGCCACTTAAATGGAGCTACATACAAATATACATAAATAAGACGTACTACACGTATGATGCGTCTTGGGTGCGTACTACGCTCGCTACAGTAATCAAATCTATACTTGTTAAAATCTTGCTCTTCTCTTCGCTCGAAAAAAGTTTCTCAGCCGTTGTGACAGCTGGCAAGCGTTTCCCCGATCTCCATCCAGATTTCTCTGGTCTCCTTGTCGTTACCCATTTGCCATCAACTCAGATCTACAAGTTCTCCCTTTTTTCAAAGTATTTGGAATTTTTCAACTGCTAAAATTTCCCCCCAAACGGCTCTTTGTCCCCGATTGCCGAACGGCCGCGGCGATTCGCTTTCGACTATCGTCTACACTTCCTTCACGCGACAACTTTCTCGTGTCACGTGAACCTGTGCCAGGCCTACACCCTACGCCTCCATCAAATCCAACGGGGCAAGATATAGCCTGGGTAGTAGAACTGTCACTTTGTCCATTGACGTCATGTCCTTTGCGACTACCCCGGATGACGCTACTGGAAGAAGTAGATAAATTGAGACTACTTCGTGACAGCGAGGCACCGGAAGTGCGTTGAAGAGCTAACAACTGAGCCCGTGCTTCACCAAGAGCATCGGTCAGCTCAAAGCGTTCCTCGCACTCGCGTCGAACAGTTTCTTGTAAAAAGACCACCTACGATAGTAAGAAGTACGTTAGTTTAAACAAAAAAGATTTTTCCCTATCTCAAATTTGAAGTACACTACTTAACCGGAAGATTTAACCCTTCCGCTTCGAAGATGAAAACTTATTTACTACACAGAAGAATAAACGAGTAAAAGATAGGAAAGGAGAAGTTCAACAAAAAGGTAAAAACAAAGAGGTACAGACGGAAGGACAGGCTGACAAACGCATAGGTAGACAGACAAATAGAATCTCTATCCTTTTCGACCTAATCTTATTTCCTTTCGTCTTCCAGTTGAACTAAATTTGTCAAGGACATCAAACCTTGGCGTAAGCGGTAACCAGACCGGTAGAGGAAAAGCAGACAGGCAGGCAAAAAATGTTCAGAAACGAATAGAAAATAATGATCGTGGGACACATATCGCAGACTTAGAAAGTGAAAGCAGACAGTTTAGAGGAAGCTCATGCAATTTTTTAATTTTTATTTTTATTAACAGTCAGACAGTCAGAAACAGAGAGCCAAACAGACAAATCAGAAGGGACCATGTTTGACACGACATTCAGGAATAAAGAACCTGGTACCTCTTGTCTCCAAGATTCACTTCTCGTTTCCAGTTCGTTTATCTGCTGCTCGGCACTTTTGAGCATCTTATCCGACTCCTGAAGCCTGGTTCTTAATCTTAGAACTTCTTCGGAGTCTGCCAACGGCTGACGCAAGCGATTCTCCAAATCTACGATTTTCGCTTCCAGATTTTGTACGAGCGAGTCATCGGCATTTTTTGTTTGTTCACTTTTCTCCTAGAAAAAGAGTAACCTTCGTAAATGTAAGTCGTCTCAAGATAACCTAACAGAGTACAAAAACTTACAAAACCTCAGGACAAAGAACTACTTGGAAAGATTACGGAAAATACAACATTTTGGGAAAGGGAACTTCCATAATCAGAGATTGCAGAATTTCTTTCCAAACTACCTTTATTTGTAATTATGCCGGTATGATTTGACTACATAAAAGAGGTTCATGACCTGAAGAGATAGGCTTCACCTTAGCCTTAGCTAGCCCACTCTGTGCAATGACAACGAGCTGAAAAGAGGTCACGAATTATTTGAACTGAGTCTACACAGAAATCGAGATTGCTTTGGTTTCGTATTACCATGATGCGTGATTAGTCTCTGTGATTGGCGCAACCCTCTCCAACCAATCAGATCCAAAAACTGAACCAATCGCGCCTAGGTCACTCGCGTTTCCCCGCGTTTAAGGTCGTTTTCGTGTTTTTGTTCTGAGTTCTTATTGCCTCCTCGAGATTACCAACTTTTATGCTGATTGGCCATAGCTACTTTGATTTACGTGTCACGACACTCAATCGAAAAGCGCTCATGAGAATCAAGAGTTCACCCACTTTAGCTTCAGTCAATTCCCGTTCCAGACGTTTGATATCCTCACGGTGTCTTCGGTTCATGGTGGTTATGTCCTCTTTAAACTACATACAGGGAAGTGCAAAAGAAGTGTTTGAGCGAAGTGACCAGATTTAATCATTGAGATAGCAAAGCGACTCATTCTTGGCCGTTCGCTTCTCGTGCAAGGGTAAAGGAAGTCCACATAGTCTATCCAAACAATCGTCAGATAACAATTAAAGTTCAGTATCATTTCTGTTTAAGTTACTCACCGTGCAGTTTCGGCAAAACTATGAGTTTATTCGCCAATTTTCTTTTCTTTTCGTTTCATAACTACTTGCATGGGAGAGGACATAATTTTAAACAGATATCAAATAACTGGAGCAGTATCCTACATACTCTGTCTTGTGCAGCTTTGGCCTCCTTCTTCCACAAGCCGAGCTCTTCTTGGTGTTTCTGCTGTTCTTCGTCCATTTCCTATAAAAAAAAGGAATAAGACAAAACAAAAAAAAAACAAAAAAAATCAAACAAAACAAAATTTACTGAGAGGAATAATGAATACGTGACATTTTCACAAGAAAAAAACCGTCGTGTACAATAACTTGCACTGACACATATGTGCAGTAAAAGTGGCTCTAAGCATGAGCACAACTTTTTGTTATAAAGAACAGCTTCCGTAGTGTGCATGTTGCAAGGAACATGAAGTCATATCCTCTGAAGATACTACACGGCGGAAAGAAACAGCACCGTCAAATTTCGGCAAAACAAACAAACAAAACATAAAGCATATTTCATAAACGAGAAAATCATTGCTTTTTTCTGATAAGGAAAACTTAAGAAATATTTCTGTGACATCATTTTTTCGTTCTTGCGGAGCTCTAACGCGCGAAAAGTGCACAAACGGAGCACCCAGAGCAAAGAAAATATGTCATTATTGCAACACATCAGGCGAAAAAAAAAAAAAAAGGAGTCAGTTCTTAGGAGGTGGCCTCAGAACCGTATGCATTTAAATGCCCTTGTTACACCAGAATTATTAACATACTCTGTATGCATTGACAAGCCAAAGAAGCAATGCAGTGTACCTTCTGAAATCCTTCCGTTAAATCCCTCCACAGGTTGTTTTTCTCCTCATTGAACTGTTCTTCTTTTTCCTTCACAATTTTGTTGAGCT